CTTCCTTCCTTCCTTCCTTCCTTCCTCCTAGCATGAGCTCATGTACTCCACTCTGGCTTTGAAATCACTATGTAGCTAAAGATGACTTTGAACCTCTGATCCTCCTGCCTCCACCTTCTGAGTGCTGGGACTAAAGGTGTGCACCGGCATACCCAGTTTATGCAGTACTGGGCTTAAGCCCAGGGCCTCATCATGCCAGGCAAGCTCTCTGCCCACTGAGCCTCGTCCCCTGCCCCTGTAAGTCAGTTTTTCATCGTCGTTTATCTTTTGTTCTTTTCCTCTCCAGACCAATCTGAAGAAGTTTATGGACCACACTCAGCATCGCTCAGTGGAGAAGCTGGTCAAGCTGCTGGACAGAGGCCTGGATCCCAATTTCCATGACCTGGAGACTGGAGGTGGGTGGCCATGAGGGAGGCCTTCACCATACTCTGGCGAGGCATACATCTATTCCCAAGTTCAGGCTACCATGAATCATTCATCTCTTACTCTGTCCTGGGTCTCATCTGGGTTTGGAAGTGGCTCCTCACTCATGTGCCTTCTGGTCTGAAGGCCCGTGTTTTTCTCCTTGCTGTCTGAGCCTCTAGCTCAATGCATGCACACAGTAGGTGCTCTGTGCGTAAGTGTTAGGGAAGGGAGAGAGCGAATGGATGCCATATATGTATGGGGCTGTTGCCTGCTGACCCGGGGGCCTCCAGCAGAGCCCCCAAGCTGGAGGTGCTAACCAGCCAGCATTGCAGCATGTGTAGGGCTTTCCCTTTCCTCACAGACAGGCAGGTGCTCACACATGTCTTGTGCTCCCTGAGTTCCAGAGTCTTCAAATCTCCTTGGGAGACAGCTGCAGTCAGGGGAGAGGTCTCTCAGCTCAGCCCTGCCAGTACCTGGTCTGACTCTTCTTTGCTGTGGGGTAGACCTTGGCTTTGTGGGGTGCTGCCGAGCCCCCCCCCCCAGAGGCCAGTAGCTTCCCCAGTTAGGACAACCCAAAGTGCCTTCCCATGTTGCTAGTGTCTTCTGGTTTTATGAGATGGACCTCGGCCGTAGCACAGGTGAACACTGTGGCCGTGGGATGATATGGCTAAGGGTGGCAGGCAGAGGTCAAGGGACTCTCCACAGCAGCTTGGATCTGTTTGGCCTGGCATGTGATCTAGGGATGGGAGATACTTGACCTTAACAACAGGGTCCTTTTACCTCCCATCCTTCTCTCTCATCCTGACTTTCCTATCAGGATACCCCAAGTCCACTGCTGGCTCCCACATGGCTTCTTGTCACACCTCAAAATTACTATGTGCACAAGATATGGAGGTGTCTATAAAGTGTGGATCTTGTTTGTCCTTTGGGGCAGCCTGGCTGATCCCTTGAGCTGAGGTGGCCCCCACTGGGTGCTGATCTAGTTGGCATGGCCCTCTCTTAGCCCTGGTGGGGGCTGGGTTGCCTCTTTGCTCCCGAGTTTCTTTGGGTTTATCTGCTAGCAGCATGAAAACTGGGAAAGGGCTCATTTCTGAGGATGGAGGCGGCATCTAAGATATCAGGAGAGAAACTCATTAGCGGCCCTGGTGAGGGGAACTGAGAGGAGGCGCTGACTGGAAGGGCAGGCACCAGCCCAAGCTCTCGGAAGGAAGAAAGTGGTGTTATGTGCATTGTGGTGACAGGATACCTCCTACTGTCTGCTGCCTGCTTTTCTCGGGGCTATGTGTCAGCCATTCTCAACCTAGGTTTTCTTCCTGAAGGGAGCTGTGGCTTCTTTGCCCCGAGCCCCTTCTACATCAGGGTCTCTGGTTCTGGGTTACGAAGCAGCTGCCATCCTGGCCTGACCCTGACTTGACTCCCCAGTTGACATTGGTTATTTTGAAGCAGAGATGTGTGTGTGGTGCCTTCTCTTAGCCCCACCTGGAGCTAGAATAGAGGTGGTAATGATGGGCAAGGAGCTGGTACTTAGGGAAATTCTAAGAAATTCTACCCCCTTAGCACTGAGTATGAGAGACCCGGGAGCGCAGAGCACGGAGCCCACGAGTGATTATTATACTGTGTTCTCTGAAATGCAGTCGGCCTTGTGCCTGTGGGTCTCATATTCAGTGAAACTCCTGATCCAACCAAGCAGGGATGGACAAAGAAAAACAAAAAGTCTGTCTGTCCTGAATGTGTTCCAACCTTTCTCTCTCCTGTTACTGTCCTCTAAGAAGCAGTCTGTGAAACCTACTCACTATTTAGTTGAATCCATTGGTCTTAGAATGATCTGGAGATGATTATAAGTAAATGACATGGCTTTATACAAGGGGCTTGTGGTGCCTCTTTAATCCTAGCCCAGCACTTGGGCAGAGGCAGGTGGATCTCTGTGAGTTCAAGGCCAGCCTGGTCTACAGAGTGAGTTCCAGGACAGCCAGAGCTGTTATACAGAGGACCCTGTCTGGAGAAAAACGAGGAGGAGAAGAAGGAATAGTAATAAGAAGATCATCATTTTCTATGGGATTCTCTAGGCATCCCAGGGTCCCTGGACCTTGTCCTCCATGGGCACCAAGATACAGGTGTATAACTGTGGCTACAGTCTGGAGGTTAGCTGATTAAAAAAAAACAAAGAACAAACCAGGAGAGAAGCAGCTGTTATGCCAAGTGGGTCCTGGTCAAGGGGAGCTGTTCTAGGGTCACCAAAGGCAGGGCCAGCCAGAGGGGGCTGCAGAACACAGCAGATACACAGTGGGGAGCACCATTCTAGGAACCCCTCCCTACCTCACCCATAGAGGGCTTGGGGTTTGGGGATTCACAGAAACCATTCTCTGTAGTGTTGTTGTTGTGTGTAGGTGTAAGGTGTATGTGGAGAGGGCAAAGGGCAACCTTGTACCTCTCTGGAGCTGTCCACACCCCCTTTCTTTGAGACAGGGTTTCTCACTGTCTCTCTGGCCTGGTGCTCCCAAGCGAGGCTAGGCTAGCTGGCTGGTGAGCCCCAAGGGTCCACCTGTCTCCTCCTCCCCTGCACTGGGGAGCCCCCCAGCCCCATGCTTTTGTTCCAGGTGGGTGCTGGCCTCCTCTGGCTCTAACAGACTTGGCTTACCGCATTTTGGAAGCTCTTAGCTGGGTTTGGTGACTTCCTGAGTCATTCCCTGACCAGCAGACACCTTGGCTCTCTATGAAGAGTCAAATTCAGCTTCCTTCTGAAGACCAAGACAGGCCACCAGCCCCCGGCCTCAGCTGTGCATCCGAGAGTCAGCTGCACTGGGGAGCCATAGTTGGGGCAGCCGTCACTCTGCACTGAGTGACATGCAAGTGAGCTCAGAATCCTAGAGGGGTGACCTGCCCCTTAAAACCACACAGTCTGTCAACAATAGCAGATGTCTATAGCTGCTGGAAACATAAATTTCACCAAGTAACACGAAGAGGAACCTGAAGACTTCCTAGTGGAGGAGGAGTCCTTGGGTCCCTCTTTGCCATGGTGGGCCCTCTGGGATCCGATGGATGATAGCTCCATGCCCTGGAAAGGCAGCCACACTGACGGCCTTAGGGAACTTAGTCCATCACTTTCCTTGCACACTGTGGGTTTCTGAGCTTGAGGCGTGCTCAGGTGAGAGAACGGCAGATATTTAATGATGCTGGAAACCCGCTGCGCCTCCAAAGCCTCCATGAAAGGCTCGGAATAGTGCGATCCCCTGCCATGCTGTGCCTGCAGAGACACCTTGCTCATCTGGACTCACTTTTAGGACTACCTAGTTACCACCCGCTGGTCCTAGTTAGCTTTCTGTTGCTGTGACAAACACCGTGACTAGAAGCAGCTTGGGGAGGAAAGGGTTTATTCCAGCTTACGGTTGTAGTCCCTTGTGAAGGGAAGTCAGGGCAGGAACCTGGAGGTAGGAACGGAAGCAGAAGCCATGGAGGAGTGCTGCTTACTGGCTTCCTCCCCATGGGTTGCCCAGCCTGCCTTCTTATAGCATCTAGGACCACCAGCCCAGGAGTGCCATCTCCCATAGGGGTCTGGGCCCTCCCACATTAATAATTAATCAAGAAAATGTACTACAGGCTTGTCCACAGGCCAGTCTGATGGAGGCATTTTCTCAATTGAGGTTTCCTCTTCCTAGATGGCTAGCTTGTGTCCAGTTGACAAAAATCCCAAGCAGCAAGTGAGAGGTTCCAGGCAGTGATGCTCCAGGGCTGTCAGTGAGGGGTGGGGTGGCCTCTAGCTTAAGTTCTTTATCATCCTTGAGAGGCACCGTTTCCACCCACATACGACTGTGGTGGACTCCTGGGGAGCGCCGTCCAGCTCCCACGTGGCCCAATTAGAAGCTTCTGTGGACATTCTGCTTCCCTTTACATGGAGCTCTGTGGCTTGGGGAGTGGAGGGAGCCTGTCTGATGACTTGTGGTCGGGTATCTGGCTGTCACACAATGAATCACACCAGGTGATCGATACCCCAGGAATTGCCGTGTCTGGAGGGAGTGGGATTCTGAGACCTCGTAAACATGAGTCTGCAGACGGCGAGAGGTGTGCAAATGAAGGCAGCCCTCCGCTGGTTCATAAATAGCGCCCCCCCCCCAGTAAGCCGGGTACGTCTGGTTAGTCCTTGGAGTTCTAATAAGAGGCCTGTTGTTAGGCGAGAGCTCGGATACGGTACCCAGTTATTTTGTAATTTTTCTTCTTTATGCGCCTGCTTCCAAGGGAGCGTGGGAAGCTCACAAAGTGCACACGCTGGAAGATAAGGTCCATGAAATGTGGAAGGAGGACCAGGGAAGGCATCCTGGGAGGGAAATGAGCTGGGATTGGGTCTAGGGTCCGTAGAGAACCATAGGCTCACAGAAAAAATCACACTGGGCAGTGGGGGGTAGCTCAGAGGCAGAGCCTGTCTATCTGAGGCCTTGGGTTCCAGCCCCACTGCTGCCTAAACGACAAGCAGATAAGCCAGCCGTGGTGGCACATACCTGCAATCCCAATACTCAGGAGGTGGAGGCAAGAGGATCAAGAGTTCAAGGCCATCCTCAGCTTCTTAGTGAGTTGGAAGCTAGTTTGGGATACATGAGACCATGTCTCAAAATAATCAGTTAAACACTCTAGCCCTGAGTGTGGATCATTCCCACATGCCCCCACACCAGCCTCCCTCTCACTAGCAGCCAGCACTAGTGTGGTGTGTTCGTTCCAGCCGAGGCCCAGGGTTTACACTAGGGCTACTCTTGGGCGCCACCCATCACTATCTAAACACCCCCTGTGCTTGGCCGTCCTCTGCCCCCAGCCACAGCCACCTGTGTCCCTGACTTCATCTCTCCTTTATTTATTTATTCACATGCCCCTCCGTGCACATTTGCTGAGTGTTTTCTTTCCTGCTGGACCTAGATCTTGTAAGCATCAGCAAGTGTGGGGCTGGGGAGGAAGATGAAGGAGGTGAAGCACCCCTCGAACCTTCTACTGCCTGCCTGCCTGA